GATAGATAGATAGATAGATAGATAGATAGATAGATAGATAGATAGATCTAACGACAATGCATGTGTGTTTAAAGGCCTGTCTGTTAGTAAAATACAGCATAAACTACTGGACTGATGTTCATGAAACTCTTAAAAAGTTATTATTGGGTGTATTAAGTTCTGGAGTTAACCCAGTCTGACATGACAAGTAATCGCCCTTAACAGACACAAAAATGGATTTAACTCAAGTGTTGTGTAGATATTGCATCAAGATTTGGTGCAAGGACCCACAAAATTTACAACAAGCCCCAACAGTTGCTGAAGATCTTTGTTCAGAACAGTGGAGTTAATTGGAGTCAACTTGGTTTTCTGTTTGCAAAATATCGTATGACACACCGAGAAGATTTTAATGAAGCTTGCAGAGATTAATACATAAAAAAGTGCATCTGCAACTGACTTTGAGATGGTACAATAGTTTTACAGATATTGACCAATGCGGTAGTAGTTGAGAGTCATTCATAACACATAGTCTGAGTGTGCATCTCACATCGCCTGAAGCTGCACATAATGTTATTTTCAAGGTTTGACTAAAATGGCTGTAACTCTTAACTTTTTTCGACATACGATGATTTCATTTTATGACTCTGGCATGATCTGCAATCTAATATTAGGCCTTTATTTATTTATTTATTTATTTATTTATTTATTTATTTATTTATTTATTTATTTATTCAAGTTTTCTGCATCTTTAGCCTTATTTTGTTCGTTTCTTTTGTGATTGGAAACAGTAGGCGTGGCTTAACACTGAAACATTACAACACAGCATACAACAGGTTGATTAATTTTCAATTAAAAAAAACTAATGATAATAACAACAACACCAATAATAATAATCCTACACAGTTAAAGCAAATAATTTAGCAGAGTTTTGTTTGTCTGAATTGTTTAGTTCTCTCCAGCCTTTCTGATTCCAGAAAATCACCAATTTTCACATTCAACTTGTTTTTAATGACAATTTGATGAATCTTTTACTTCATATGTGAGGACAGTTTCATTTCTTTTTTAAAAATGTTTTTTATTTTATTAGAACTATGATCTGAAAATAATGCTTACTTTTTTGAAGATGATTCAATCTGGATTAAAAAGAATAATCTTATAAAACCTTGTCATTACACAACCCTTCGTTGTCAATTGTCAGCTTTATTTATATTATTCTCTTTGCTTTGCTTTTATCTTTTCTGCTGCGTTTTTCATTAGGTTTTGATAACTATGGTTTTGTTGGAGTGCTATTCTTGTCCAGGTCCCTCTTGAAAAAGAGATTTTTATCTCAAATGTTTAAATAAAAATAGAAAATGAGCGAGCAAAATGAGCTCAACATGAAGCAGGAAATGCAAATAGTCATTAAACAGGTGAGTTTAAAACACTGACATGTTCCTTTTGGTTTTATTGGCCTGAGCATCATAAATCAGTGAGCGGCCTCACAATGAACAGGCCTGATGGCAGCAGCTCCTTCCTTCATTAAAATCATGACCCACCAAAACATGTTTAAAGCAACGTTTTGTTGTTTTTGTTGTTGTTGTTTTGTTTTGGATCATGTAAATTGGTTTGATCCAAGAAAAATAAAATCCTCACGGATAGACACCATTAATTTGTCTCACTTGTTTTTTTTTCATAGTCACAAAGAAAAGGCACAAAATAAAACATCAGTCAGTTCTTGGATTGATTAAAAAAGATCTGGTCATAAACTCCAGGCCTGCAGAGCAAATATAATAATAATAATAATAATAATAATAATAATAATAATAATAATAAT